AAACACTTGGTGGTTAGACTCTGGTGCTACTACTCACATAAGTGTTTCTATGCAGGGTTGCCTGAGCTACCGAAAGCCAAGTGATGTTGAAAGACACATCTTTGTGGGCGACGGACAATCGGTAGATGTGGAAGCAATTGGGCACTTTAGGTTGTTGTTAGGAACTGGTTATTATTTGGATTTAAAAGATACTTTTGTAGTACCGTCTTTTAGACGGAATTTGGTTTCTGTTTCTGTATTGGACAAATCAGGTTATTCTTGTTCATTTGGAAACAGTCAATTCAGTTTATCTTTTAATTCAAATGTTGTGGGAACCGGTTACTTGAGTATTTATGACAACCTATATTTGCTTGATACAATTGCTTCTTACAATGAATCCTTGCATGTGGAATCACGTGGTACTAAGCGTAAATTAAATAAGGAAAATTCGGCGACATTATGGCATAAGCGCTTAGGTCATATCTCAAAAGGTAGAGTTGAGCGTCTTGTGTCTGATGGCATTTTGGATTCCCTTGATTTTTCGGACTTCGACGTATGTGTTGAATGTATCAAGGGAAAACAGACCAAAGTGAAGAGATTAGGTGCCAACAGATCTTCGGATGTCTTAGAATTGATACATACGGATATTTGTGGGCCATTCCCTACGGAATCCTGGAATGGTCAACAATATTTTATATCATTCATAGACGATTACTCACGTTATGGGCACCTATATCTTATTCATGAAAAATCTGAGTCTCTGGACATGTTCAAAGCCTATAAAGCTGAAGTTGAGAATCAACTCAACAGAAGAATTAAAACCGTCAGATCTGATCGTGGTGGTGAGTACTACGGTAGATATGATGGTTCAGGTGAACAACGTCCAGGACCATTTGCTAGATACCTAGAGGAATGCGGTATCGTCCCACAGTACACTATGCCGGGTTCACCTAGCATGAATGGTGTAGCTGAAAGACGAAACAGGACTCTTAAGGATATGGTAAGAAGTATGATTGCTCATTCTTCTTTACCAGAGTCACTCTGGGGAGAAGCACTTAAGACAGCAGCTTACATTCTGAATAGAGTACCAAGTAAAGCAGTTGCTAAAACACCTTATGAGCTTTGGACTGGTCGAAAGCCCAGTTTAAAGCATTTACATATTTGGGGATGTCCAGCTGAGGCAAGGCCTTATAGGCCAAATGAAAAGAAATTGGACTCCAAAACAGTTAGCAGCTACTTTATTGGGTACCCTGATCGCTCTAGGGGCTATAAGTTTTATGATCCCACTATAAGGAATATTTTTGAGACGGGAACAGCAACATTCTTTGAGGATGTTGAGTTTGGGGGGAGAAATAAGGTTAGAGACATTAGTTTTGAGGAGGAATTGGCTTCAGATCCAATCCATACAGTTACTTTTGACAATATTCAGGTTCCTATACCTGTTGTTGCTCAAGAAGTAAATCCGGAACCTCAAGATGATAATGTTGAACAACTCCCTGTTCCAGAAGAACAAACTCAACAACCTCAAGAACCAGTGCCATTAAGGAGATCCACGAGAGAAAGGAGAAATGCTATTCCGGATGATTATATTGTATTTCTCCAAGAACATGAGGAAAGTAGTGGAATGTTAGAAGATGATCCAATCAACTTCTCTCAGGCCATGAAAAGTTCTAACTCTCAACAGTGGATTGATGCCATGAATGAAGAGTATAAGTCTATGCAAGACAATAAGGTTTGGGAACTTGTCCCATTGCCAGAAGGTGCAAAACCAATTGGTTGTAAATGGATTTTTAAAACCAAGCGGGATGCAAACGGTAATGTGGAGAGGTATAAGGCGCGTCTTGTGGCTAAAGGCTATACTCAAAAGGAAGGCATTGATTATACAGAGACTTTCTCTCCGGTTTCATCGAAAGACTCTTTCAGAATAATCATGGCACTTGTTGCTCATTATGATCTTGAGTTACATCAGATGGATGTTAAGACTGCATTTCTCAATGGAGACATTGATGAGATGATTTATATGGTGCAACCAGAAAACTTTGTGTCAGGAGACCCAAAGAATATGGTTTGCAAATTAAGGAAATCCATCTATGGACTCAAGCAAGCTCCTCGTCAATGGTATCATAAGTTTCAACAAATAGTTATCTCGTTCGGTTTTGAGATGAACATTGTTGATGACTGTGTATATCACAAGTTCAGTGGGAGTAAGTATATTTTTCTGGTTCTGTATGTGGATGACATCTTGCTTGCCACTAATGATATAGGCATGTTGCACGAAACCAAGAGATTTCTATCAAAGAATTTTGAGATGAAAGATCTTGGGGACGCCTCTTTTATATTAGGGATCCAGATACATCGAGATCGCTCTCGGGGTATTCTTGGATTATCACAAAAGAGCTATATCGATAAGGTACTTAAAAGGTTTGGCATGCAAGATTGCAGACCAGGTGACACCCCTGTTGCTAAAGGAGACAAGTTTAGTCTCAATCAGTGCCCTAAAGGTAACCTTGAAATTCAGGAAATGCAGAAGATTCCTTATGCTTCGGCTGTAGGAAGTCTAATGTATGCTCAGGTATGTACGCGTCCGGATATTGCGTACATTGTTGGGATGTTAGGCAGATACTTAAGCAACCCTGGTATGGATCATTGGATAGCAGTCAAAAGGGTTATGAGGTATCTTCAGAAAACAAAAGATTACATGCTCACATACAGAAAATCAGAGAAATTAGAGGTCATTGGGTATTCGGACTCTGATTTTGCTGGATGCCAAGATAGCAGGAAGTCTACATCAGGCTACATTTATATGTTAGCAGGAGGAGCTATATCATGGAAAAGTGTCAAACAAACACTAGTAGCTTCCTCCACTATGGCAGCAGAATTTGTAGCTTGCTATGAGGCATCCAATCAGGGAATATGGCTGCGAAATTTTGTCACGGGACTGCGCATTTTGGAAAATGTTGAAAGACCACTAAGGTTATATTGTGACAATAAATCTGCAGTAATGTATTCCAATAACAACAGGAGCTCAACTAAGTCAAAACATATTGACATTAAGTTCCTGGTTGTGAAAGAAAGGGTACAGAGTGGACAGATATCCATAGAGCACATTGGGACAAACTCCATGATAGCTGATCCTCTTACTAAGGGATTACCACCTAAGGTCTTTCATGAGCATACTGCTCATATGGGTGTGGTATTATTTGAGGATATTATGTTTTAGTGGGAGTTTGTATTTGTGGTGCTTTATGTTTGTTTGTATTGTCTGATCAGAATAAAGTTTTCAGTTAAGACACTCTGTTACATTATGTTTGGTTTTGACCTCACTAAGGAGGACCAGTTGAAAATAGACATGTACTGATCACATTGCATGTAATTTTCATGCTGCACATCCATGATTGATCTATGTCATTTGATTGTATTGATATATGTGACCATTGATGGGTCGAGTCACGATAAATGTGACGAAGGCCGCTTTGATCCTATATTGATATAGTCAATGGACGAGATTGTTCGGAAATACCATTTCAGTGATAGCAATTTTTGAGCTCATAAGGTTATACACAGTTTAAGGAATCATATGGTGCCCAAGTGGGAGATTGTTGGATTTAATCTAATAAATCTATTTGTGGGCACATATGATTAAACAATGTGTATTGCTATCTTTCAGGATAACCCACTAAAGTGATCAATTAAGTTGGGTTAATGGGTATTTAAATATAATCATGGGGTTATATGTGCAGATACCAGGTTGTAATTGTGATTTATTGAGGGGCTAAATTACAAAAGTACAACATCTATAAATAAGGGGTTATGGTCCCTAATCTAGGGTTACTACATTCTCTAATTCTCTACACCCCCATCTAGCTAGAGAAATTCGGTTTTAGAGAGAACCCTAAGGTTAGAAGATCCAACACCCAAAATCAAGATCAAGCAATGGATTCAGGTATAAGCTTCCGCTCTCTTTTGATTTTGTTAATCTCTTTGAATTAATCATGGCTATATGGTTTTAGATTTCAAGTTTTTATGATGTAGATCTAACAGGAACATCTCCATGAAAGTTAAGAAAATTTTGCTAGACGGTCAACCTGACATCAGGGGCGTGTGGGACTCCTAACCAAAGAAATTATAGGGCAAAAATGGCTCCTCACAAATCCAAGAAGATCAGTTGGCTAGAAGAAAGTGGCCGTCTCTTCTGATGGATCTAAAAGCTGATCTACGAAGAGAGAAACCAGCCAAAATTCTCCTTGTCTAAGTCTAATCTATTACTATTAATAAAGAAGAGGCATCCTATATAGATATAAGATGACCCAGTAAGAGACCAGTAGAAAGAAAAAAGAGACATTTGTTTTAGGAAATTCATTCAACTGCAAGTAAGAGACAAAAGCCAAAAACCCATAGAGCATTTTCCCCTTTGGTGTGGCAATTTGATTATGCTAATCATTCACAGCTCAGAAGACGCTGTTAAAATTACCTATATAGATATAAGATGACCCAGTTAGTTTACTTTCATGTTCCTTTTCTGTAGAGGCATAGTCAATAGGTCTGTAGCAGGAACTGATTGCGTACTCTACTTAGAGTTGATATCTTCTGTTCCATTGTTTTTAGAAACAACATGAAGACCTTCATTACATGGGATTCAACAGATGGAAGCAGTCTTCCTATTGTGATTTGTGACTGCTGTTGAATTGATGTAAACAATTTAAAGCATAGTGGGAGGGTAGGAAGTGAGCGCCGACAAATATATAGATATTGCTATTACCGGTTAGAACTCAGATAATTGTGTTCTCCGTCTATTACTTTCAGCCTGAACTACAACTACTGATATGTGAGCTTCAGAATTTTGACAATATACAAATGAATATCAACTAATAAATTGTTGTACTTCCTATTTCTTCTAAAGCTGTAGCAAGCCTTGAGCTTGGTACTTCTCTTTCCGTTGAACTAGGTCTAGCAAGACAGTGAACTGCTATAGCTTATTTGGCCTTGTATATTTTCATCTTATTTGGCCAATCTCATGACAGTGTACAGTGACCAAGGCGTTCCAGCTTCCTTCCGAGTTCCCTCAGGTGCAGTGATCCCCTTTGGATCAATGGAATCAGCACTAAAGACAAGTGGGTCATTAGAGTCTTTCTATTCCCTTATAGAACAAGTAGAGACATCCACAGGCAGCGAACTGGACAATCTATGCTCGGAGCTCCAGGCATTAATCTCAGCCCAATCACCACCTGATGTTGTCATAGAAACTCTCAGCAAGACCCTTTCAACCGATTCTCGGCTTATAGTGAGATCCAGTGCCAATGTCGAAGACTTAGCCGGTATGTCAGCTGCTGGTTTGTACGAATCCATCCCAAACGTCAGCCTTGCAAACCCTAAAATCTTTGGATCCGCTATTGCTCGGGTATGGGCTTCTCTCTACACGAGGAGAGCCATTTTAAGCCGCAGAGCTGCTGGTGTTCCCCAGAGGGAAGCAACAATGGCTGTTCTAGTGCAGGAAATGCTAAGTCCTGAGCTTTCCTTTGTGCTTCACACTGTTAGCCCAACTGACCAAGATCCACAGTCTGTCGAAGCTGAGATTGCTCCCGGGTTAGGAGAAACTCTTGCCTCGGGGACTCGAGGTACTCCATGGCGGCTTTCGTGTGGGAAGTTTGACGGCAGGGTCAGTACTTTGGCTTTTGCCAACTTCAGTGAAGAGATGTTGGTGATGAGCTCGGGACCTGCGGATGGAGAAGTGATGCGTGTGACCGTAGATTACAGCAAGAAGACAATGAGCGTTGATCCTATCTTCCGTAGGCAGCTTGGCCAGCGGCTCTGCACCATTGGGTTTTTGCTCGAGCAGAAGTTTGGGTCTCCTCAAGATGTCGAAGGTTGCGTTGTTGGCAACGACATCTTCATAGTACAGTCGAGGCCCCAGCCGTGACGCTGTCAAACTCGGTTGCAAATAAAAAGGGAGATGAAAAATCTCTCAGGATATCAGTTACGTCTTAGTACAGAGTGTTATGTACCAAGTCCGTAACTGCTATAGCTTATTTCGACTTTTATTTCTCGATGATGATGCCTGAACTCGCAAGAGTATGGTTATTATAGGAGCAATAATTTTGGAATCGATTCCTCAGATTTCGAGTGTAAGATGCTATTCTGTAGTACCCAAAAAAAAATGAAAATAATAAAAACACTACGATATGCACATCAACATACAAATGGGATCAAGAAAAATATTGCAAACACGAATCCAATATCTGGTTGGTCGCAAGCTATGCTAGATATACATCAGTGTCTTTCTATTGTGATCAAGTGCTTGTTTATCTATGAAAATGATCTGTATTTCATTCATTCATAACTTGATGACGTGACATTCATTTGCTATTTTTTTTCATTCATTCATAATTTGATTATCTTGTTGCTAGCCGAAAGTTTGAAATAAAATTTTGACTAGATATTTGCAATTGCAGTTCTACAGGACTAAAATAAAACCATAAAAAGTTCCCCAAAAAAAAAATTCTCAATAAAATAAAATAAATAAATGACGGAAAAACTCTATATTTTCTCAGTCCCTTCCAATCCTTTTTAAGTTACAAGGATGCTTGCAGCTTCCACATTCATGGCAGGAGAATTAAAAAAATAAAAAAGGGACACCGTGACTAAACAATAAATGAAATTTGGTAAACTACATATGGTGTTTTATTAATTTAAATAGAAAACGAAATGCCTCAGAATGTCTTGGTCTAATTTAATTGAATGCGGACGTGGACCAGTTGCTATTAAAATAGCAGGCACTTCGAGTTCGAGCCACTAAATGAGACCATGTCCGAGTCTTCCAAGTTGATGAGATTCGTATCACACTGGACAGTAGCTGCCCATTTATAATCTATAAATTCAATTGTACATTCGTATTTTCTAGGGAAGTCAATTTTTACCCATACTCATTTACATACCTAGCCCGTCCATTACTTGACCCGTCCAAAACCCACCTATTTAATTAAATAAGTCTAATCGGACGGGTGCATTTTAAATTATACTAAATGGGCACTAAATAATGGGACGGGTGCATTTTAAATTATACTAAATGGGGCACTAAATGGGCGGTGTTTATTAACCCGTTTGCCCGCCCGCTTGTGTTCCCAAAACAAAAACCCTAAATCCCGACCCCAATTCCTCAGTGAGCTCTTCTTTTCTCTCGAACCCCGACCCCAATTCCTCCTCCTCCGCCTCCTCCACCGCCGTCTCAACCGCCTCTCGAACCTAGAGCCTCCTCCGCCTCCTCCTCCGTCGTCTCCTCCGCTGCCTCAACCGCCTCTCGAAGCTAGAGCCTCCTCCGCCGCCTCAACCGCGAAGCCAGAGCCTCCTCTGCCGCCTCAACCGGGAAACTCTAGTCTTTCTTCGATATTCGCGATGGCGCACGCGTTTGCAGCTCAGGTGAGTGAAGATTCGTTAACTGATTCTTGTTCTTTGATTGATTTCGTTCGTTGTAATGGTGGGAATGGGGATTTTTGCAGACTTCGATCAGTGTTCCGATTGGAGGCGACTCGTCTCCTGGGAGGTCACGAGTGAAGGTATGGTACTGTACGAAATTGCTTCTTTTTGCTGTAAAACTTCTGTTTTAGTGTATAAAAGTGAAATTTGTGCTTATGAGAAGAAAAGTTTTTGACTTTTTATTTACGCTAAAGGTTAAGGTTTAGTGTATAAAGGTTTTAGCATATTCTCTTCATGTTTTTGAAGTTTGTAATTGTATGTGCTGAGAGTATTGATGAAGAAGAGAACGAAGGATGAGAATATGGTGGGTTGGCTTTTATAGAGGTTTTTCTTAGACAGCTTGGACTTGTCTTTATTTTGACTTCTCTGCATAGGTTATTATATAAGTAGCCAATTCTATAGAGTTTTCTTGCCTTTTTTTCATTTTTTTAAATATAAAAATGACCTTATTGCTGACAGTTTATAGTTAAAGATGTGACTGTGTTTTTCGTTTTCTTTGTTGGTAGCTTTCTTTTATTCTTATCTCTAAGATATTTTCTACTGATTTGGATTTTTTCTCCATCTCAGAGATATCGTTTAAATCATTTGAAGATATCTTCTTTTGTAAGTATCTCACAATTTTAGTTATATATCATACTTATGATAGGGCAATATGCCCTATTTTCCATCAAAAAAAATATAGCTGAGAGAAAGTTATCCGCAATTGATCCTACTTTCACATCTAGATTTATAATAATGACCATTTAAATCAGATCAGATGTTGATGGAGTTTGAATAACCACCCATTTATTTAAACCTATAATTACACAAATTTGGTGGTTTTCAGAACTAGAATTTTCCTTGGAACTCTCTTCACCTAAATTATATACTACTTGCTTATCTGTGTGGTTTTGAATACAATGGAGTAACACGTGCTTATTATTGGCTACTTTGTACATTTATGATGTTGTCTAAGTCTGCTAACAACCTCTTTGAGTTATTTGTGCTTGACATAATAAAAAGAAAAAAATACATGATTGGTAATTTTAATGCTATCTTGTTCAATATGTTCATGATATTCCTGAATGGGGGTTATGTACATGCCTATGCATATTTTGATAATTCAAAAAGTTTACAAAAAGCCCCTAATAGTTTACAAAAAAACCTCTAAAAGTTTACAAAAAACATCCTAAAAGCATTATACATATATAGCTACTATAGTTAAATGGGCAAATGGGCGGCCTGTTTATTAAATGGGCGGGTAAAAATCCGCCCATTTAGAAAATGTTAAATGGGCCATAAATGGGTAAATGGGCAAAACATGTCCGCTCATTTATGACCCGCCCATTTAATATCCAAACCCACCCATTTAACATCCCTAAAACGGAAAAAGGTCCCAACTTTGAGTCAATTTTAGGGTTTTGATCGTCAATTTTGGAGCAGGAATCAATGGCGAAGGCCGATGATGAGAAGAATGAGAACAAGTACAGCATCATAATCCCAACTTACAACGAGCGTCTCAACATCGCGCTCATCGTCTACCTCATCTTCAAGCATCTTCAGTATTTGCCCCTTTCTCCCTTTCTCTAATTTCAACTCTGATTTTGATTTCATTACAAATGGACGCTGTTGATCTGATTCTGATTTCATTCCAAATTGGATTTTTTTTTGCCAATTTGCTCATCAATCAGCTAATATGAGTGTAAGCTCTAGGTCATACTGAACAGATCAGTGAAGTTTTGGTCTTTATAAAGGAAAATATTGATTTTTTGTCTAGATTCAGAGTCATCTCAAGTTTAGATCTTGTTGTCGTCTTTATCTTGAGATCTCGCTCTATATACTGCACCCTATGAATCTGTAACTTGAACTTCAGTATTCATTTATGCAACATTCTTAAGTTTGTTTCTTTACAACAAATATCATGCATTTTGTTTGCACCCCTCTATGAAATTGAGTACATTCTTTAGAAAATGGGAAATGTTCATGTTGATAGCTTGTGAAAAATTATGACGATACACTTTTTCTTACGGGCATGCAGATGTTGTTTTAATAACTGCCTGTAGAGTACGATTCATGAAATCATAGTTGAAATTTGAACTGTTAGAAATCTGCAAGGGTAACTTGAAGTTTGTCCCGTCACCAATTATACCAAAATTATAATGGTAATTAAATTCTCCATTTTGGTTCTCCTATGATTTTCGGCATTTCTTAGCCTTTGACAGCTATACACCCCCCCTCTGGATCAATAGCCATCATCACAACTGCTCGCCTATTTAGTTTTTTTTTTTTTTTGGCTGGTTTTACCATTCATGTCGTCGTTCAAGATTTTTGTTCTCAATTCCCTCATCCAATGCACACATTGTTTCTTTAAAGAAACTTGACACTCAACATTGCTACTGTATCCTGTACTCGGTTTGTAATCATTAAACTTACTTCAACTTTCTCAACTGTTGCCTTCTTCATGCAGATAATTATCACTCAGCCTTTGTCTATGAACCTCAAATCAGCCTATATGTTGGTTTCACTTTGAGATAATGTTATTTCCCTAACCATTACCTGTTCCTCATAATAATAATAATAACTGGTTTTTGTTAATGAAATGAGTGACCATTACCTGTTCCTCATAATAATAATAATAACTGGTTTTTGTTAATGAAATGAGTGCTAAACTGCTAACTATGTTGTTAAACTTGTACTTTTCATGAAACTTAGCTGTAAGGGTCAATTTGATCAGTGAGGCTTTAGAATCCATGGTTATCATGTGTAATGGTGGCTTTTATAGTTGGCTCTTCCATTTGAGTATCATGAATGCAAGACTAAACTACCTTTGTCAAATCATTTTAAAGTTTGAACGGTACCGTTTCCTACAGTCAAAAGTTTTTTCCCCTGCATTTTCTACATTATTAACTCTTTAAAAATCATAAACTCAGAAAAATAATTGTCTGCAATTTTTTAGGGATGTTGATTTTGAAGTTATCATTGTGGATGATGGAAGCCCTGATGGAACACAAGATGTTATAAAGCAGTTGCAGCAAGTATATGGGGAAGATCGAATTGTAAGAATCGTAATTCAGATAACTAGAAGATTTTTTATGCTTGACCCTCTCTTTGTTATTTGGTTATTGATACTTATTATTAATTTTCTTTGGTGAGGAAATAATTTCAGCTATTAAGAGCAAGGCCTAAAAAGCTTGGTTTGGGTATGTTTCTTTTGTTGTTTCCTCTACCAAAGATCATAAATTATTTCCTTACACAATAATATGCAGGAACTGCTTACTATCATGGGCTAAAGCATGCTTCTGGAAACTTTGTTGTTATCATGGATGCCGATCTATCACACCATGTAATGCCTTCTGTTTGAGTTATTTCAAGGGAAAATATGATTCTAAGGAGCCCCGTTAGATTCAATCTAAGGATGCAACTTTAAAACTACGTTATATGCAATCAATTTACTTGATCCACTCCATTCATCTCGTTCTATATGTTCTGGATGGTGTATAAACAAAAAACTAGGCATTGGGTTGTAGTTATCTATGCATCAAGTGACTGTAAAATTAACGGTTTTATGACAATACAACTAAAGAGACGATGAAAACTATGTACTAGAAATATTAAAACATCATGATTTTTGTTTATAGATGTTTTGAGATATTTAGATGATGATGAAGGGAGCGAAGCATCTATTGGAATAGCCCAACACATGCATCAAGAGGTGCATCCTTAGATTTAATCTAAGGTTGCTCCTTAGATTCATATTTCCCTCAACTATTTCAAGACTATTTTGTCAGTTTCTGTTTTAGTTATTTCATCACTCTACTTACGCTCAACTCTTTTTCTGCAGCCAAAGTACTTACCAAACTTCATCAGGTAAAATTCTGAACATTTTTTGGCAATGTTTTGACTAGGGATTATGTATTTATATAAGGATAAGTGGCATTAAACAAAAGAATCTATCATGTCTCGTGCTTTTAGGAAGCAGAAGGAAACTGGTGCAAATATAGTTACTGGAACGCGGTATGTTAGAAATGGAGGTGTACATGGATGGAATCTCATGAGGAAATTGACAAGTAGGGGAGCAAATGTACTTGCACAAACTCTTTTATGGCCTGGGGTATCAGATCTCACTGGATCGTTTCGGTACGTTTTTCAAGGTTAAGTTCATCTTTTGAGGTTCCCTTGAACTTTTATAGCTAGCTTGCGTTTTTCCTTTCTATACAGGCTTTATCAACGATCGGTTCTTGAGGATGTCATGAACTCGTGTGTCAGTAAGGGATATGTATTTCAAATGGAGATGATTGTTAGGGCCACCAGGAAAGGATATCACATTGAGGAGGTAGGGAAACTATAATTTCAAATGGAGATGATTGTTAGGGCCACCAGGAAAGGATATCACATTGAGGAGGTAGGGAAACTATATATTCCTTAGGACTTGCAAATTTTGAATGTCACTCCTTTTAGTTGGATGATCTTATTGGAATCTAATTTGTTGCTGAACTACACTGAAGTTTGGAAGTCAACATGCATCTTGTTTGCTGAAAGTGACTCTTAACATCATCTGCAGAGTGTTTTGAGACGTTGATTTCTCTGAATGTGGCATCGGCTAGTTAATTATTTCCCTTTTTTTCGTATGTTTACCATTCCAAAAAAAAAATTCTCTTGAAGATTAAAATTTTTACTGTCAGGATTAGTCAAAATCATTAGTCAAAACCATTACTCCCTAGAATTACATCGAACGAACAGGGGTATCATTCTTCGGTTATTGAAATATTTAATATATCTTCAATTTTATGTGCTATGTGTATGTTGCACTACTTGCAAATTAATAATTTCTTTCTATTAGAAACAACATCTTCTGTTAGCTAAGGTTTATTATGCTTGCTGTAGGTTCCAATTACCTTTGTGGACAGAGTCTATGGGAGCTCAAAGCTCGGAGGATCTGAGATAGTTGAATACCTGAAAGGCCTCGTATACTTATTGTTGACAACATAAAAAAGTTTACTTTGAGGTACTGTTTTCTGATTTTGTTTTCATGTGACATTAACTTGGTTAACAAAACAATAGACGTTGTAACCATTTCATAGTTATATGATTGGTTTCACATAGGAAGATTTTTTTTCCCGATCTGTATCATCTGATATTTGAATGTTTTAGAGTGATATACATAGAAATGATGGAAGGTAATTTTGCTATAGCTTGTTCATGTTTATAGGCGTAGCGTTCGCGCTGTGTTTTCCTACCTTCCCCTTATTTCACGCTCTTTTACTTTATTAATTATCAAATTAGAATTATCGACACCCTAATTATTTGGGACCTTTAAGAAACTGGTTATTTGATTAGTATTTGATTATTTTCATGTCATTGGTGATGCTTGTGGACATGTAGATGTAGGTGAGAGCCCGATTGAATCATTTGAGTATTGATAAGGATTTTGAGTAAAGTATGTTGAACCCTTCTCAAGTTTGTCTTGAAAGTTTAATAAACTATTAAGAGGGTCTTCAATCACTTTCTTAGACTACCTGCAGCAGGTAGGGATTGGGGGATATTTGGGTGCAACAGGTAGGGAAAAGGAAAGGGAATTGGAAACAGAGGGGAGAGAAAGGGAAAAATTCCCTATGGGTTTTTCTGCAGCGTGGGGCCCAGAGGCTGCCACAATTTTTTTAAAAAAAATTAGAAAAACGCGCGGCCAATCAGACCATGACGCGTGTCGGGCTTGTGCTGGCATCAGCCATGCACGCTGCCACGCGTCATGGTCTGATTGGCCGGCATTTTTTGGTTTCTTCATAATTTTTAAATGCAATTTTGGGAGATAATTACTATGAATTAATTTTTAATTTTTATATCATTATTTTTCATTTTTCAAACTCTATAAATAGAGACTAACTTTGTGTTATTTGGACACCAAAAAAATTTGAGTTTTCCACCCCCTATTCTATATAGCATGAAAAATAATAAAATAGATTGCTAATTTGAATATCATGTTTCGCTGTATTTTGCAGGTAAGGCAGTTGATCGAGGGGCTGCTCACATGCTCATGCTTGTTGCACTCCTTGAGGACATTAGCCCAAAGTTCAGTCATCTGCTTGTATTTAACTTCATGGAGGATATACTGCTGAGGATAGATTATTGGGAATCACGACTAATATGGGATCAGAATGAAATCTGATTTCCCTTGTTCTGTTCTCGTCTTATTAATTACGGGGAGAACACAACAACATATTGTCAATTGTGGAGTTGTTGCCCCAGTTGCAATAGTTCTTCCTAAGACAGAATCTTATTACTGGAGTGTAGGTTTATTATAATATCATTTTGTGGCGTATTGTCTTTGTGATACCAAAGCTCTCATTTTGTCTTCATTAGTGTCCCATGAACGACCTCCTCCGAATTGGCTTGCACCTTGATAAATTCCCTTCGGCTACAAGGTATTTTATCAACTTGGTGGAATTTACGCCATGTTTTCCTTCATCCATATCCCACCACTAACCTTCACCTTTCCGTCGTACGTATCTGCCATTTGACATCTTCAACTCCAGGCCAGCTATCCTGAATTTGTTTTCGTGGTAGGTTCCTTGAAAGCTCCTGCATTTTAATGCTTTCCATGTACTGATTTAATCTACGCATATGATTCCTCAAATTTGGACTGTTTCCTTGCTTCAAATTACTTGTTATTCGATGGAACAAGTGGAATCCCTCTCATGCAAGGTTGAACATCTTCCCATCATCTTCCAGAGGTAGGTACCACCATGAATAGCTGAATCACAGGGTTTAATATCTTACTGTTGTCTTCTGGAAGCAGGCACGAACATGAACAGCTAAGTCGCCTGGTTTGATATCTTACCTTTGTCTTCTGGAAGTGGACACAACCATGAACAGATAAATAATTTGCAGGTTTAATTGGACTTCAATTCAATGGATCATACGGAATTTTCTCAATACTTAAATTTAGTCTCTTGGTAGAGTGTGAGCATCCCCTTTTTAAGAGTAAAAGCTGTTTTCAATAAGAATTTCGTTTTTAACTCATTATCCATCATTTTTATTTTCATCCAGTGAGACGAAAGCATCAGATGAGCTTTATCAGAATCCCTCTTTCCATGACATGGTCAATGCGACTCGATCATGGCTACCTTTCTCTGTTTCTAACTATGATCCTCATGAACAAAAGTCTATCTCCCACATCATTGTTTGGCATGGATTTTTCTATGGATTATGTGTGACATATGTTTAGACCTATCAGTTCCTGTTGCTTTGGCACCTTGAAGTTAAGCTTGGGACTACACTGCAACATGCAGTGGCCTATATTCAGGTGACCATGTTGAGTCCCTGATAGTAAGACCAACCAATGATAGAAAGAAGAACATAGTAGAGGGGGAAATTTTTTAAACCCAAAGTATAGTGTATTACTATGGGATCTGAGCAAAAGACATTTGAAGTGAAACCAAGAGAGTAAGTGTAGAAGGAGAAAGTGTAGTAGTCGGTGTCATGTATAGAACAATTTTTGTCTAGCTAGACATATGATGAAGAACATATTATTTCTAAGGTGGAAGCTCCTTTAGGCTTCTGGGGTTTTATTTATTTAAATAGAAAACGAAATGCCTCAGAATGTCTTGGTCTAATTTAATTGAATGCGGACGTGGGCCAGTTGCTGTTAAAATAGCAGGCACTTCGAGCTCGCGCCACTAAACGAGACCGTGTCCGAGTCTTCCATTAGAGGGAGAAAAATAAAATGTCGGAAAATATGACCAAGTTGATGAGATTCGTATGGCACTGGACAGTAGCTGCCCATTTATAATCTATGAATCCAATTGTACACTTGGTATTTTCGTCAAAAAATAAAAGAAATTGTACGCTTGCTATAAACTAATATAGTTGGAGTTTCCCTAGAATCTACAACAAATTAGTAAGTGATTTTTGAAATTTAGAAGACCATCACTTTCGACGGAGAATATTTGTTGGCAGTTGAAATATTGGTTTTTTTTTGGAAGACGGAGTCACTAAATTTTTTTTTTTTTTTCACTATGTAAACTATTCGGCGCACGCGAACGTTCCAGTTATCAAAAACTTCCCCACTTTTTATAAAATTGGGATTCTTAACTTTTTATAAAAGTTCGGCCGGGGGGGCACAAGGATGAGTCGCAAAATGAAAGGTCATGATCTCCTTATTAGGAGATATTAGGAAGTTTTCGTTAGTAGAGGTCCTAGAGGATATCAGTCCCTTTCTAGAGTCTACACATCTCTATCTAGTAGGACACAAGGAGACTTCTCTCATCCCACCTATGCATTTGTTTTTTATTTTTATTTTTTTATTTTTTATTTTTTTGGACACAGGAGAAATATACATTATTGATGTAACTACAGATTTTTTTTTTATTTTTATTTTTTTAGAGCAAACATATGACCTTATTTCTTAAAAAAAAAAAGTTGAAAATATTCACATGGGATTATAGAGTAAGTTGTGACTCCTCTTTTGTAGTTGGAACTCACACACAAATTAGTCAAATGTTGAATGTCGACGCCGTAGACCCGAATGCTCCGCGGATCACTACTGATTTGATTTGTCGTTCAATTTTCTGAATTTAAGCCGGCCCTTTTGTCTTTGAACTGCAAATTCAAAAAAAAAAAAGACTCCCCTCTCAAGTTCAAACAAAAAAGAAATTCATACACAACTACCGGTTGTGAAGACAAGTCCCTTTCCAAACAAGAATCCAGAAACAATGATCTTTGAATCCACGAAGAGAATATAATAAAAAGGAATTTTATTGATGAAAAATGATGTTTCTAAGGCTTACAATACTCTGCTTAAATAGAAAATAAACAAGACTCCTATTAGAACCTAAACTCTATCAAAAATAGAATTAACAGAATTCTTCTTGAAAGACCCCATATGATTGAGGAAATAAAGTGGTTAAATTTAGAATCAAATCAGATTTGTTTCCTAATGAAAACATACTCCAAAGATATTATCCAAAATAATAATAATAAACTGATAAAAACTCTGATATCTCTCAATCCATAAGCAATTTAGCGAAATAGATGGCGGCAAAATGAACAATGTTGGGTTTGGTTGACTCGATATTGAATATGCGATTTTCATATATAATTCATTTAATTCTGACATGTGGTTCGAGAGATATGACACATTCTCCGCAGATCACTAATCTTCTTCATTATTTTGCATTCAGCTTGTTGTGGGTTCCCACCAGAAAGCTCTCTTTTCACATAAACACATCACCATGTCTCCTTCCTCAAACACCTTCTTCCTCCCGTGTTGATCGGCATCTACATTGTATTTAGTGTTCGACTTCTCTATCTGCTCTTTCACTTCCTGTTGAATAGCTCATATCTTTCAGCCATATGATTTGCAGCAACACTCTACCCCGAAAGTTTAGGCAGTTGAACCAGATTAAGATAACGGTTGGAAATCCTCCCAGACAAAATCATGAAGGGGAGCTCTGCCTGTAGCTCGACGCTACATATAGTTATAGACAAAATTAACATATGCCAGAACAAGATCCCGCTGCTTTAGACGAACGCGATACGAGAAGGCTACTGAGAGTGCGATTTATCACTTCAGTTTGACCGTACGTTTGGCCCAACTATTTCCAGTCAATCGTGACAGTGAACCATACTGGTTTTTTTTTCCTCGTTGCGCCAACATCGATGATTCATCACCATCATCGCCTACCATCCCAACTAATCTAATTAAAGAAGTCGGTCAGCGCTGAAAGCAGCGCTACCTTTTCCCGCGCGCTCTCTAGTTTCAGTGGGCCCCACTCCCTTCCCCCCATCAAATCAATAACCTACCGTTTTCATCCTCTTCCCCCCTCCTCCACGTAATCATCTCCCAAAAAAATTAAACTAAATTGGGAAAATAAAAAAAAAAGGAAAGAAAAAGAAACCGCGTCGTCTTCACCCTCTGAAGATTCTCATTCAAATGGCGACCGGTTCCGAGTCTCTCTTTGAACAGCGATAACTGATCGATCGATCGAACGATGGAGGGATCAGAAGAGCGTGAGCCCGTGGAGGTCAGGGCCCTGCGCTCTCTCGGGCTGGGCTTCGATCTGACCAACGACTTCAGGCTCAAGTTCGCCAAGAGGCCGACACCAGGGACATCGTGATCCCCGGGAACATCACCATCAAAGACGTGCCGGCCGATGTCGGCTGCGACAAGGGGGATCGGATTCGGTTCCGCTCCGACGTCCTCGAGTTCAATCAGGTGAGCCTCTAAAGAACCTCTGTAGGCTGTAGAGGATTAGGAGTTAAATGATTCTATCACCAAAATTTTGTCTTGGAGACCATGGAGTGGGGGTAAAAAAACTCATTTTTGAGAGACTGTAAAGTTTAAGCACATGAAGCCAGGGTCTTGATGTAGAATCCATAACTGCAACCGCAAGCCAAGACGTAAAGCAAAGAGCTTCTTAGCTCAAGGTCAAGCAAGTCTTATTTGGTGGGATTTAATAAAATTTTTAAAAAAAAAATAGTGGGTTTAGGAGGTTACTTTATACTGTCTTATTTGGTTTCGTTAAAACAGATGTCCGAACTTCTCAACCAGAGATCGTCGATTCAAGGGAAAGTCCCTTCAGGCTATTTCAATTCCCTTTTCGACTTGAGCGGGGCGTGGCTGGATGACGCGAAGAACACCAAGCATCTTGCTTTTGATGGTTACTTCATTTCCCTGTACAATTTGCATCTAAGGTCTTCTCCGTTGGTGCTTCGGGAGGAAGTAAAAAAGGCTGTTCCGTCGAAGTGGGAGCCCGTATTACTATCGAGGTAACTAGTGCTTTCCTCATCTGTGTATGCTCTTGAAGGTAAAATATGATGCACGGTCGATCTGTTATTAGCTTATCATCAAGGTATAGGAAATTAGAATTTGTTTAGTACATATGCTGAAATTGATTAGATTATGTAGGATTGTTTAATGTACATATCGCTTTTTTCTTGGCATTCTTTTTTAGCTAGTCTCACCGATTACGGTTCAACCTTGTACTATTGTATATCAACAGTCTTTTCCCCTTAATAGTTAGCAACATGTTTTTTTTTAACGACATCAATGATCTCATCTTGCATGGTGACATGCATCCGTGTGTGGTTTGATAGGTTTTTTCCTGACGTTTACCTGGTAGCAGGTTTATTCAGACCTATGGTACACACATAATTGTTGAAATGGCAGTCGGAGGTCAGGATGTAATTTGTGTTAAACAGAGTCATTCTTCAACTATTTCTTCCGCTGAGCTTAAGCTACATCTCGAGGATCTGGGAGATATCTTATTTTCAGATGAAAGAAGTCTTTCTCCACTACATCGCAAGGGTAGAGAAGGAAAGAGTAAGGTAAAAAAAAGGTTGATTCGCACTTTATGAATTATTTTCTGCTCTGGGATTTGTTTACTAATGATTTCCTTTCCATACAGGCACCTGATGTTTTCTTCAAAATCTTGCAATCGAACAATTTGCAATTGTCCAGTTATTCTGAAACTTCTACCAAGGATGTAAGACCTTCAAACCTTGTGCTTGAACCCCAGTTTACATTTCTGAAATTAAAGTGAGATTTTAATGCAAATAGGGAATCACTGTCGTATGTTCAAAACGAGGAGGAGATGCATATTTGTGTAATCACTCCAAATGGCTTCAAACAGTACCTATTACGCCTGATGCTATACTTTTCAAGTTTGTGCCTATCACCTCCCTTCTCACTGGTGTCCCAGGAAGTGGTTATCTTAGCCATGCGATCAATCTATATCTTCGCTGTAAGCAGTCTATCTAAAAGAGATACGATTCTTATATTCGTACATGTGCTAAGCTTTTCAGTATGTATCAATTGCATTAACTGCGTAATACTTGGATCCCCAAAATAGGGTGGGACATTATATATCAATGGTTGCTTATTTTAGAGTGCCCCATGTAAAACCCATTGCATTTGTTTACTATTTTTTCTCAATACATCTTAATAAAATTGTAGGACCTGTGAATTTCTGACTAATTAGCTGTCATTCTCATCAGATAAACCCGATCCTGAGGATTTGCAGCGTTTTTTGGAGTTCCAAGTTCCGCGTCAGTGGGCACCAATGTTTAATGATTTTACTCTTGGACCACAGAGAAGGAAAGCTTTTTACCCTAGTCTGCAGTTTAGATTTTTAGGTCCTGTACTTCGCGTCAATACTACCCAGGTACTTTAATTCTTATTACTTGTGCTTTTACCCTGTGAGAAAGAGACTTTTTTCTTATTTCACTGATGCAAACATGAAATTTTAGTCAAGGAATTGGGAAAATAAACACAATCATCAGAAAGTTTGTTCGATATATGGTAACTTCAATTTTTGTTTCTACCTGGCCTTCTAGCTCTAAAAAAGCTTGCCTAGTGGTTATGCATTAACAAAATTTGGTGGACCACATGAATGTATTTGGGAAATTGTCCAAAATTATCATAATTGGTTATATGACTATCAAAACCTGAACTAGAGCTCAACAACAAGGGTTCAGTTAAAATGCAGAAGAGCAAGATGTTGCATGTTTGAGCTTATACTGCATGATTACAAATTATAGCTAGTTGTAAAATTGCTGTCAATTCTTCTGTAGAGATTCTCTGTTTTTAGAATAATAACTGCTTTTTCACCTGGTTGACCAATCGGGTAAGAGCAGTTATGTGAAAACGTTACAATCTTGAGTGATCTTGCAAAGACCTACGATTGTGTTCCCGTGTTGTTCAACAGTTGGTACAATGGAGAACATTACCTTTACTGATCATGTGTAGTGATTCTGTAGACTTGAGTACAAGTGACACCGGGTTATCAGATCCACATTTATATTGGTGTGTTGTTTCCACCTATTAGCAGCATGAAGCAAATTTGTGATCATATTAAATCCATTGGCAACTACCATAAATCAAAAGGTTGTTTTTATGTGATTCAGATTTGTCTCTCTTTGGGACATCTTACCTTATTATGCAGTAGCCCGATGTCTACAGTTTCAAAATACAAGTCCTAAACACTATATAGATATTTAATTGTACACTTTTTCTAGTAATTGTGCTTCTAAAGTTGTCCTGCATCTCGCTGCCTGCTGTGTGCTCTCCTGACCAGATACAGAAAGCCTGTATCAAATGTTTTGACATGGTGGTGCCTGGAATTTATTAGGCCCAAGGATACTTGGACGAACTCCCGCTATTGCGTAAATGCTTTGAAGATAAAGTCTGTGACTCAGTTTAGGTAATAGATTGTGGACAGTTCTATTGTAGGTTTCTCGAGGACGTGAAAGCTGCACAAAAACGTTGCCTATGTGTGCACTTAAAGTTATTCCTTCCCATTGATATTTTAGGTTATTATTAATTCAGAAACTCTACGAACTGGACCAAATCAGACACATATAAATTAAAGTTTTGTGGCGTGCTTAATTATCTGCAAGCTGCTTGTGCTAGCTTCACAGCAGACCGTAGGAGGGAAGCTCTTGATGTCTAGTCTAGTAGTTAAGCTGTTGAGATGCTAATGTGTCTACTGGAGCAAAGAGATATTCATCTTCCCTGGCTTTCGCTAATTTGGGACTTATCTTTCCTAGTGCATACAGTTACAATTAGTCACATGTGTAGAGAAGATCTTTATGTCAATGTCAACTCTAGGCCGAAATGTCAAGTTGCCTCTTAGTTGAATTTCAAATTAAGACCCACCTTTGGAGTAATGTATTATATTGATGACTTGGAGCATGAAGCAGCATATGGACATTGCATTTGTGGACTTTGTAAGGTGGTTGAACGAAGGTGAAGCATTGGACACTTGGACCTTATTCAGTTAGCTTGGGGGATTGAGAAACTTACCCTATTTCTAACTTGAGTGGCAAAACAATCATTTTTTAATGTGGTTGCGGAAAATAGGACCTCCAGTAAACCATAAAATACACTTTTCTGATTGCAGCAATCTGAAACATGAATTATCAGAATGTTTCTATATAACGCTGCACACTCTTTATTATCAAAATTTAAGGATTTGTTCTGTACAGCCTTGGGCAACCACATTGTGCAAACTCAAGTCCTCATTACAAAAATTCTTATATAGAGACATCTATGCTGACCAAAAAGGCAAATCACCAAATGTTACCCCCCACCCAAAAAAAACAAAAGAAAAAACAAAAACCGAAAAAAAGTTGCCATTGAACATTTTTATAGAGAACAAGGATGGAACCCCAAAATAGGCTCCAGCCGGCATACTACTCCAAGGTTGCCGTTGAACATGCAGTAACTTAGTAGCTAATATTCTTTTCTTACCTTGTGGGCTCCTGCTTTATCTTCCGCAATCACCAGAAATTAGAATTTCATAAAATACTTCTTGAATATCCTTCTCTAACCAAAATTCTCTCTTTCCATTGCAGGTCACAAGTAATCAGAAGCCAGTGGTCGGGCTACGGTTATTCTTGGAGGGTAGGAAGTGCAATCGGTTAGCCATACACTTACAACACCTCTCAAGCCTCCCCAGCATGTTCACAACTTCCACTAGTTCAATGTCTCAATGGCAAGGCTCAGAAGATTCAAGCTCCGGATTTCTTGAACCTATCCAATGGAAAAAATACGCAAGCGTCTGTACATATCCTGTGAAGTATGACCCTGAATGGCTCGAGAAATCATCATCAGAGGGTGTTTTTGTGGTCACTGGTGCTCAGCTGATAACCAAAGGGAACTGGCCAAAGAAATCCCTCCATATTCGTCTCCTCTTCACTCACATCCCGTACTGCTCTATTTTAAGGACAGAATGGGCTCGTACCCCTGCTTCGACTTCACACAAGGGAAGTTTTCTTACAAACATTAGTACCACTTTCACGCAGCGTGATACTGCTGCTCATAAGCACGAGCCTCCGGTAATTTTGAATTCTGGGGTGTACCCAGACGGCCCCCCGGTGCCAATCCAATCGAGAAAACTGTTGAAATTTGTGGATATGGCCGAGGTTGTGAAAGGGCCACAAGATATCCCAGGACATTGGTTGGTGATTGGAGCCAGGCTTGTTAAAGAAAGCGGGAAGATTGGGCTTCATGTGAAGTTTGCACTGTTGAATTATTCGGAATCTCAAGGGTGAGAAGGTGATCCGGTGTACATAACTGCGGAGGTGTTTCTTCCTAGTTCTCCTCTTGTAAATGTTAGGGGTGTTTCAAATGTAGAGCTTGGGCTGAATTTTGTCTAGTGTGGTTATTAATTCTTTTAGGAATTAGTAATAATTTTTGGTGTATAGAGGGGTGTGATGACCGAGTGAGAATGGAAATGGTATTTGCATGCAGATTTGTATGTCGAATCTTTTTGGATGCTTCCTTGACGATAGTCGTCTTTAGACGCTGAGAAAGATTTGAGAGAATAAAAAAGAGGATGATGTGGAAGTTTTGATGAAGTTAAAGTTGCTTCCGTTGCTGTTAAAATTCCTTCGGTGACAAATCTACTCCTCTATACAAATGGATACAAATGGGAGAACCCTAGATTCACTATCCATGCTACAATAACTGCTACAGTAACATTATTGTTGTAGCAAATACAAAATTGGACACGGTGGTTTTGCAAAGGTGAGATACTGTAGCAGTTAAAAAAATTATTGTAGTGGTTCAACCAGGATTACTGTAACGGGAAAAAAAGTATGTCGTGTTTTGCACGGTGTTCACACTAGTATATATTAAAGGAAGATGTGTAGGAATATTAAAATATTATTCATGATATAGTATTGGGTAATTATTATGAAATCCCTTCAGACTTAATAGCTTATTATGAAATTTCCTAACATTAATATTTTTTTTCCCTTACAATGCACTATGCTATTAAAAAGCTGTTAAAACTCGTTTAATTTCTATAATTTATTTTCCCCCTCTAACATATCCCTCAACAAAGCTTCGCTTTTTCCTCAAGCAATTGCAAAACCTATCTTCCCTCTTTTCACATTGAACCCAACTTACTATGACCTTTACCGACGAGAAAATTAATAGAAGATCAAGGCAATTTCTTTAACCCTTTTAATTTTAACCTCTACTTGGTGTAGCTTTCAGTTTGCCCTTGGGAGAAAGAAAAAGAATGTTAGAGGGGAAGAATAGAGATATTTTTGAACAATTTTTCAAAACCGGCGGATTTTTTTTTTTTTTTCAAAATCGACTGTTTTTTTTTTATTTATTAAAATCGACCCGGTTTTGTGATTAGCAGGCTAATCACTATCCTAAATAGTCGGGGTTGGCAACCCCGACTATTTAGGATAGTGATTAACCTGCTAATCACCCTTTAATTAGGGTTTAATACCCTCCTAAATAGTCGGGGTTGGCAACCCCGACTATTTAGGATAGTGATTAACCTGCTAATCACAAAACCGGGTCGATTTTGATAAATAAAAAAAAACGGTCGATTTAAAAAAAAAAATCAGTCGGTTTTGAAAAATTGTTCCATATTTTTGGAATATAAATAGGTTCTAACAGTTTTTTTTGGAATATAAATAGCTTTAGGATGTTTTATAATGTAGTGTCAAACCTTGAGGGGTTTTCATAATAATTATCCTATAATGATGCGTAACATACGTGCACGGTGCGCACAATGACTTGAAAAGAGTCACGGACAGTTTTTCACATTCACTGAAATCTGGCTCCATATATCATCAGCTTGCTGTGATCATTATTGAAGTTGTGACCATGGACACGAAAAAGTGGCTGCGCCGTCTATTTATTAATAACGATGGCTGCTCTGACCATCACCAAGCAATCTACTGTATTTATCTTTTCCTAAAAAAAAAAAATTCTTCATGATCTGCTAACCCCCTGTTTCTTCTTCCTCAGCTCGTAATCCACGGAAAATAAAAATTTGAAGGAAAATAAAAAGAGAGAAGAAAATTCGTGTTGCACATCCTACATACTATAGATAAAATAGCCAGATGACAGTTTTAGGACCTTGATCGTGTCATGTACATGTGACGAAAATAAGAACAATTACCAATTTAATGCGGATGAGAATTTGACTCTGCACAAGGAAAAGAATTAAATTACGCAACTGAAAGGCGAAATGCCTGTAAATTCCATTCATGTTCAGTTGTCCAAAGAAATCCATACAAGAGAAGGAATTTTAGTAGAATCTGTTCTTTCCGAAGCAATTGAAATCTCAATGACACCAACTCAGTTACAAGCTCCTATACGAATCAATCCGAGTCTAGATCCATTTGTGGTGATAGGGCGTCCGCCAAAATTTTCTGCAGCTCCTCTGCTCTCTTTTTTGCAAGTATAATGCATTCCTACAAGGAACAAAAGCAATGAACTTACGTTTAATGATAAAGATGAAAAATGTTTGTATCATTCGCATGTTTGTTTGTTTATCTTAATGGTTTTCCTAAATTCGAAACATCCTGATGAAACAATGTTCCAAAATCCCACTGCCACATGGGACTCAAACGAAGTTCAATCCGAAAAACCCAAATACCAAAACAATGAAGAAAGGGAAAATTTGTGGCATAAAAGATCAGTTTGCTGAGCTTATTAGTCTAGAGACTAGAGAGCCCCCCAAAAAGAAAAAAGCACACGCGGTCCATATCGTTAGTGGCGCCATAAACAAATACCAAGTCTTGGATCATTGGGCTCGGGAATTCGTACACTAATTTAAGGATTGATATCCATATGGTCCACCATTAATCAATGAACTGGATACACAAGGATGCTTTATCCTTCAAGGCATGGTAAACAAACCTGAAGAGCTGAATTGTAGACGAGAACTGATCCTCCAGCTTTGTAGACTGACACCAGCCGGCCTAGTGAATCTATTACGACCGTAACAACAGTGTCCATGATGGACTCTTCCTCTGCAGTGGGATCTGCAAAGATGTAATTCTTGTGAAGCATGCATGTGAGAGAGAATGGGGTGCTCCTGAGAGAGAGCTTCCTCTTCTCCTTGTTCACCAGCTCTAATTTTGACTCCTCTTGTAGCTTCCCGGACACAGCTATTACTCTTCCGTCTTCATTAACGGAAACGAGAGGGATCTGCACTACAAATTAGAAGTAAATTTATATGGTGACATAAAAACACAAACTCATGTCGCTAAGATAGTAGTATGAATAAGATGGTTCTAGTTAAATATATACTACCAGAAGACTGTGCAAAAGCACAACTGGGAATTCTTACTTGAAAAAATGACAATCTGGATGGTGGTAGATCATAATACAGTAAAAACATCACAGTTGTTTAAGGAGTGAGCCATAAGTAATGTTTTAGGCACCAGGTGTGAGCGAGGAAGGAAGTGAAGTGCTTCTTTTTTTTCCCAACTTTAAAGTGATTCATCAATCTATTATGGATTTTTATAATTGTTAAGCCACCGACTCTTTAAATTTAAGTGAGAGGACCAGGTATAACTGTATAGAAATGGTACACTGGACCAGAACATGTATTCAAATCAACAACTTAACCAGTAGGTTTCATCAGGTGCTCTTGTTTCTAAAAAGGTCAAAACATGACCAGACCCTCTCTAAAGCTAAAAAGAGTTACAACTATCATCTGATTTGAGCCCTAACTCTTCACCTTCCCCCTTCTCAGGTGCCCGTGTTTCTTCTATCCAACAAAGATCGCGATGCTAGAAGAACTCTTGAGCAGAGACCAAAAGGCAACAAATTAATAATGGTGAATAATGAAGGAAGCCTCGATGTTATAAAAAATATAACTGACTCTTTTTCCAACTTTTCACTTAAACATGTATCTTTTTCTATTTTCCTTTAGAAGACAAAAAAGCACCTGGTCTCCACTCCGTGACACCTACTGTTCTCTATGCACTAATTTCAGTTCCCAGAAAACATTCTCTCGCACATAATTCATTTTGCACCACTAGATGATGGCTGGTCTGCTGACACTCTGA